CCCCCTCCCTTCCCTCTCCCCCCCTGCAATGCCCCAAGGCCCAGCAGCCCCTGCTGCTTCAGCTGCCTCTGATCCTGAGCCCTGTGTTCCTGCATCAGCTCCCACTGCTGCTGGGTCCGCACTGGGACTTTGCCAGAGCTCCCAGAGCCTCTGGTGCCGTCATCATCATTAGGGGAGGATTTTATATTGGTTTTGTATCTATATCTGTACATATCTGTATCTATTCCATTATTTTCCTATTTACATTATTATCCTGTTGTATCGGTATTATTGTTTCATTAAACCTGTTCATTTTCTAAGTCTCTCCCCCTTCTTCTCTTTTCTGTTCCCTTCTGGTGAGGGCAGAGGGGTTCACAGAGAGCGTCTGGCCAGGGTTTAGTGGCCAGCCCAGCCCTAACCCACGACACCAATGCAACACCTGATGCTCAGCAGGGTCCCAAGGGGGTGTCATCCCCCTTCCTGCAAAACACCCCAACACCAGCACGGTCACACCAGGAGCTCACACCGGCACCAAAACCTGTCCTGGAGATGCAGGAGCATCCCTAGAATTTGGGGCCGGCTGAGCAGGGTGGCACCCCCCAGCCTCCCTCCAGGGACGGGGGGCTCAGGGGGGTTTATTTTCTGTCTTGGCGTGTTTAAGGAGCCGGGGCTGTTTGGAGGCGGCCGCTGCAGAGGGCGCTGCCGTTCCCACTTTCACGCGCTTTTTTCCAGCCAGAGAAAAGCAGAGCGTGTTACAAAGCAACAAAACCCATGGATTTGGATTTGCTTTTCCGCTCTTTTTTTTTTTTCCCCCCACCTCCCCCTCTTCTCCTTTTTTTAAAGGGGGCCTCCATAAAGCCCCTTTGTTTGGTGCGCACAGAAGGTTTATTTTTATAACTGCGCGCAGCCCCCTTAATGAACTCCTTTATGCTTTGTGCAGGCAGCGGGGATCACAATTCCGCATTGTGCCGCACTGCTCGTGTTGTCCTTGGCCGCCTTTGGCCAAAAGGAGGGACCCCCCCTCCCCAGGGCCATCAGATCACCTCGACCCCCAGCGCCCCAAACAAGCACCCCTTTGTGGGGGGGACTGCGGGGCTGGTTGGGTGCTCTGCACCTCCCCAGGGCATTTCTGCCCCTATTCTCATTGCCCAAACCCTTCTATTTCAAAATACCGGGGGAAGCAGGCACCCCCCAGGACCATGGGCTTGGTGACACCCACGCTGCACCACTTTTGGGGGCTAAATCCCATCTGAGATCCATCCCCCCCTGTGCCAACACTGGGGGGCAACCCCATGCCCAGCCCCGCTGCAAATCATTGGGTTGGAAATCAAATTAAGATCATTTTAAATTTAAGATCGTGGAGTCCAACCATGCCCTGTCCTTCACCGACTCACGGCCCTCAGCACCTCATCCCCTGTCTGTTAAATGATGGGGACTGCACCAAGTCCCCGCGGACGATGGCCAGTGACAGCCTTGGAGGGATGCTGGGTGTCTCCATCACTGTGGGTGCCCCAGGGACACCCACCTCAGGGCCTGTTCATATCTCATATGTGGCCCCCACCATATGTGGGACCCCCCAGCTGCCATGGGGACCAGTCCCTGCTTGGGTCGAACAGGAAGGACCATTCCTGGCACCTCTTCTCACCTCCACAAATGAAACCAGCCTAAAACCAAACCACCTACACCAAATACAACAGAGCTGCCCAGCACATAAGGTGACAGATCTTACTCTGATTTACCCTGACTTGATTTCCTAAGCCAGAAAACAAAAGCTCAGCTCCGGTCTGGAGTTTCAGAAGCGCCTGGAGCTGCATTGGGGACGCATTGAGCAGCCGGGCAAGGAAAGCTCCTCGCTCAAAGCCCAGGACACCCATTTCTCCACACATTTTTCCATGAAAGGGCATTTTTTAGTCCAAAAGATGCCTGGTTCAGCCACTGGCTCCATCAAGGAACCTCCCAGCCTCCTCGCAAAGTTTCCAGGATGGAGAGCAGAGGAGCAGGGGCTCAATTTAACATTCAACCATGAAAACAAATACAAACCATTTCACAGATTCACCACTCTTAGCTATTTTCCTTCCCAACTCTATTTTCAATCAATTCTTTCATTCCTATTAAACGGGGATCTCCTTTCTTCAGCCTTGATACCTTCCCCAAGCCACAGCACGAACCCCATACCCAGGAACCTTGCCCTGCAAGGCAAGAGGCTGGATTTGACCATTGGGGTGCTGAGGGCACACAAATCCAACCCAAAACGTCACGAGATGACAGTTCCTGCCTGCTCCAAGCTCCTAATTACACCCTTGCACCCTCATTAATTGTCAGAGCCATCCGCTACCCAGCCTGGCCACTGGCTCTGGGCATCACCTCGGGGCTCTCAGCAAAGCAAACAGCTCTGACTGGTGGCTGACCTGGGGAACTGGTGGTTTCGGGTTGGTTTTGCACATAAGAGTTCTTTAAACCTGGATTTATTTATATTATTTTGCTGATGGGAAATCAAGCCACCAGGCTGCTCGCCTTGGGAAAGCCTCATGCCACTGTCTTTTGTCATTTGGCTGCCCAATACCCCTCATTTCACATCAATAAATACCCCCAGATTTGCTTCACACACCAAGAGTTCATTACAGCGCTAATTACAAGCACAAACGAGCGGATGGGAGCATAGAGGCAGACCTGAAAAGCTGTCCTTGTCCATGGCGATCAGGTCTCGCGCTTGGTACATGTAGCAGCGGAGGTGGTATCTGTTCCCATCTGTATGGAGAAATGGTCAAGAAATGAGTCCAGGGAATAGCAGGGATTTTATCAGCCCTGGGTTCATGCTCAAGGGCTTAGCTTAACCCTTCTCATGGCTTCCTGAGAGCACCGAGCCCTGAGTGCATCAGTGTTCACAGGGGGAAAAGCCCCATCCTTGCCCCATCCGCTTGCAGTCAAAGTGGGCGAGAGGAAGAGGATGGGGAATGCTCAGCCATGGGGTCCCCACTGCAAAGACCCCATGCTGCAGGGATATTTCACCCTCCCCTGCACCCTCGGGGCCTTACAGTCAAATATACAGGAGATGGTGGGTCTGTTGACACCAAAACTGAGGGTGGAGACGGATTTGCCATCGTCGCTCTTGTCGTCTGTCACTCCACCCTGCAACAGAGAGCAAGGTCACGTCGGGACCCCCACCACAGCCAGGGCTCCCCAGGGGATGGGGCCATCTGCATGGGGGTCCAAGAGGACTTTGGGCTTCCCCGTGGAGGGACCCTCAGATCGCAGGAGGACAGAGAGGACCCCAGGTCACACCGTGCTGGGATGGAGCAGGACACCGCAACCAAAGCAGCCCCAGGAGCACCCGTTCACATCCCACCAGCACGGAAAAGCTTCTCCATAAAGTTCAAATCACAGAGTCATTGAGGTGGGAAGAGACCTCTAAGATCATCCAGTCCAACCTCAACCCAACCCCATCATGCCCACTAAACCATGTCCTCAAGTGCCACATCCAGGCTCCTCTTGAACCCCTCCAGGGATGGGGACTCCACCACTGCCCTGGGCAGCCCTTGCCAGTGCTTGACCACCCTTTCAGTACAGAAATTTCTCCTAATATCCCATCTAACCCTCCCCTGGTGCAAAGTTCCTCATTCCTGGAGCTAAAGCAATTTCACTAAGTCCCCTCACGAGCAAAATTAACGGAGTATAAACTGTAACCAGTGACACGGATGGTGTCAAATGCCACCAAGTGCCCCATTCGCTGTGCAGGGGGAGCCTCAGCCAAATTTGTCCATCGTTCTTCCCTCTTCTCGCCAGCAAAAGCTGCCTTTTATCACCTCCTGACTGCCACATTCAGGAAAAGGAGCACAAAAGGCAACTTCCTGGCAAGCACAAATCTGATCTTTAAATATTTTCCAATTATTGAATGCCACAGAGAGACAGGGATTGGTCTTCAAATCCTTCAGCAAGGGCTTGGGGACGCCCCACTCCATCCATCATGGGAAAGGGGGACCCCTCACACCCCAAAACACCACACGAAGGGCAAGCTGGAAAACACTGTTGCTCAATACAGTTTGCCCTTTGGGGTGTCCATACATGGAGCACCCCCATGATCTCCTCCCTTCACCCCATCCCCATCGGGTTCCCGGGAGCTGGTGTACGGTGCAACGTCTCATTTCCATTTCTGAATGGAAATTCATTTCATTTGCGGGCTAACGAAGGCGAAACGAGGGCACGGCCACACGGAGACCCAGGGCAGCCCCATCAGACACCCCCCATCCACCTTCCCTTGTCCCCAGAGCCAGGAAGGGACACGGGGGGGTCCCTGCACAGCCCCATGCTGTGCACACACACACGTGTGCATGGACACACACCCCATGTCATCAGGTTTTCCAGCTAAGTCCTCAATTGCCCTGCTGAGATGCTAAAATTTGGCCAAAAAAATGCATCAACGGGCCCCAGGGTGAAGCCAGGGATGCCCACAAATAGGGCCAGAGTGAGCTCAAGGCTGATGCATGCAAACACCATGGAGCCACTTGTGTCCCAAAGGGGCTGCTGGGTTCAAATGCTGGATGGAGGGGAGGACAGGGCAGAGAAAAGGGGGAAAAAAGAGCCAAACTGGGGGAAAAACAGAAATAAAACGCCCTATAACAGGGGCTTTGTGCTGCTGTGGTTGCACCTCACTGAGTTATTGGAAAAGCCAAAGGATTATGAAATCCAGGGTGTTAAGGAGGCCAGAATATCAGCTAAGCAAACAGCTGCGGGTGCAGGCGGCTGATAAGGAGTGAGAGATAACGAGTGAATGATAACGAGTGAATGGTAACAAGTGACCCATAAAGAGCTTTGCTCCGGGTTTGCTCCATGGGATGGCACAGAGGGTGAGAGCAGACCTGACCAGGCGGCAATTCTGGGGGAAAGGCGGGTACCTACCAGGGCCCCCTCCAAGGCGAAGACGGCGGCGGCCCCAGTGCGCTCGAGGGGCTCCATCCTGCGCCTCCAGCGGCGCCGGCGGAAGGTGTCGGTGCGGCGATACTTGAGGTGGAAGCGCCAGCCGAAAAGCGAGGCGTACTCCCAGCCCTCCCCGTCCGGCTCCTCCTGCTTGTGCTGCGGGCAGGGACACCCCAGGGCTCAGGGGGTGGCTGGGGGCCACCACTCCACGGCCCCTCTGCAGGTGATGATGGCAGGAAGCCAGCACGGCCAAGGGGCAAAGCCACCCTGGGGGTCTCCAAGGTTGTGCCCATCCAAAGCTGGGTCCAAGCTCTTGGAGCTGTTGCCCACTGCAGACCCCGTGTGACTCCAGGCTTTCATCCAGCCCCTGGGGTGAGCCCCACTTGGAGAAGTGTCTTGATGGGGCG